GATGCTTTTACATTTTCATTTGAGAGATTATATACCCTTGTGGTATTGTTTTTAATATCCGATAGAAACAGTGGGAATTAAACAAATTAAATGTCCCAGTGACTGTGCTGGGTCTTATCTCAGAGGGCACCAGGATGATATTTATTTAAGCAGCTGGTTAAGTTACTTTGTATAGCTCAGAAGTTCCAAAGAACACATTTTGAAAATCACAAGTATGTACCACATTTTCATCAAGTGGTCCCCAAGCATTCACCCTTGTGTTTCTGAAACAACTTCTTGTTATTGGCGAAAATTACAGAAAGCTATTAATTGATTGAATGATTGATTTGAGACAGTCTTGTTCTGTTGCCCAGGCTGTAGTACAGTGGTACAATCTCTGCTCACTGCAAACTCCTGGGTTCAAGTGATTCTCCTGTCTCATTGGCCTCCTGAGTTATTGGGATTACAGACACACACCACCACACCCAGCTAATTTTTGTATTTTTAGTAGAGACAGGGTTTCACCATGTTGGCCAGGCTGATCTCGAACCCCTGACCTCAGGTGGTCCGCCCACCTCGGCCTCCCAAAGTGCTGGGATTAAACATGGCACCCTCCACCTTTGTCCTCTTTCTGTAACATGGCCAGAGATGGAATCAGCAGAGACCTAGTGTAGCTTATGGGCCAAATGACCTTAACATTTCTTTGGGTGGCTGAGTTGCTATAGTTTCTATAAATGGGATTTTTCAGCCCTTATTGTTGAAACTCTGGACTGCTTCTAAAGAAAAGTTTATTATTGGCCATGGGCAGCATCAGAGAGGCTGGATGTTTCACCACTTACTCTGATGGAAAAAGGAGGGAGAAGCAAACGTCTTAAACACAGAAAGCAAACAGAGTCCCCGTATGGGACCAGGCATGCGAAAACAGAAGACACAGCTTCGGGGTGGACCTTTATGTCAGAAAGTGGGTGTGTTTCTCCCTTTGGAACAGGGTCCTGAGCTCTCCCTCTTGACTGTTTACCAGATTACATCAAATATACTTTTTTTAAATGTGGTTGCCAAACGTGATCATGCCACGACAAAATCATAACTTCCAAATTAAGTCAACTGTGCCCAGCTTATTGGTTTTTTTTGAGTAAGTCTTAGAAAATGTCTTTCCTTTCTAGCCTATTTTCTTTCTTCCTTTCCTAGTTTAATCATCCAAACCTTAATAAACCCTTCACCTTAATAAAACCTGATCAGAAGTGAGTACAAACAGTATAGTGATTATATTTAATTCAATTCCTGTTTGGTTGTTTTAATACAATATGCCTTACTTTGATAATTTAGGTCTAGTTAACTTAGAATGCCGTTCCTCATTACCTAATCTTGTTCCAGTGACTACACCTACTTAATACAGTTAACTACAATCTTCATATTCTGAGGTTATAGAAGTTCTTGAACCCTTGGAAATAGATAATTAAATTATTTCTTTCCTCACCACTTTTTACCCTTGTCTTTTAAAAAGGCTTTCCATTTTTATTGCCTTTAACTGCTTTTCCCCAAAGCCAATTAACAGGTAAATAATGATTTGTAAAGCAAAAAGTAGCATTTCATTAGCATAGCACTGGAATAAGGGAATTCTTTGCTCGAAGTAAATTGAACAATTGTCCTCTTGCTGAATATAAAATACACAACAAATTAATAATTTATTTTAGTTACAGTGATTTAACCGAATTAGCCAATGCTAATAACAGAGTCTACAATTGGCTTTCTCTCTGGAATATGTTTTTCATATTGGCATTCTTTTGTGGTAGATGTGGAAAGAGCTAAGGTAAGCATTTTGTCCTGTATTTAACTTATTTTCCTGGGAAAAAGAACAGAACAGCATGAATTTTGCATCAACCTCCCTGGGAGCACTCATTGTATGAGGACTAAAGTATTGTGACTTGAGAAAGAGTGAGGGATGAGAGAAGCAGCTGGGAAACTAGGCTGCTCTTACCAGGTCACTAGCATGCCACCTCCTTGCACCTGCACTCCTTGCACCTAGAGGAATGATTGCAGATCATCCCCTCGGATCCCATCCTGGTGTCTAATAAGTGTCCCTTTCTGCAATGAGCTAAGGGTCTGCCCTATGAGATTAATGTGCAGCCTGGATCCCACACACAGCTGAGGGCTTCTACTGGAACAACCACTATAACCACCCAAGAGGTTCACCTTGCCTGCTGCCTAGACAGAGCCAATTCATTGAGACAGGGGAATTGCAATAGAGAAAGAGTAATTCATGCAGAGAGAGCTATATGGGAGACCAGAGTTTTAATACTCAAATAAGTCTCCCCAAGCATTTGGGGATCAGAATTTTTAAGGACAACTTGGTGGGTAGGGGAGAAGCCAGTGATCCAGGAGTGCTGATTGTTCAGAGAATGAAATCATAGGGAGTCAAAGCTGTCTTCTTGCTCTGAGTCAGTTCCTGGGTGGGAACCACAAGATCAGATGAGCCAGTTTATTGATCTGAGTGGTGCCAGTTGATCCATCAAGTGCAGGGTCTGCAAAGTATCTCAAGCACTGATTTTAGATGCAGTTTAGGGAGGGTCAGAATCTTGTAGCCTCCAGCTGCCTGACACCTAAACTACAATTTCTAATCTTATGGCTAATGTTAGTCCCATAAAGGCCGTCTAGTCCCCAGGCAAGAAGAAGGTCTGCATTGGGAAAGGGCTGTTACCATCTTTGTTTTAAACTATAAACTATAAACCAAGTTTCTTTCAAAGTTAATTCAGCCTATGTCCAGGAAGGAACAAGGACAACTTGGAGGTTAGAAGCAAGATGAAATTGATTAAGTTAGATCTCTTTCACTGTCTCAGTCATAACTTTGCACAGGCAGCTTCACCACTGCCCAAACAGTTCGACAATGAGACTTCCTTTCCTGGGCTTCTGGGCACTCCCTGAAGTGCGGTGGAAATCAGCTGCCTCTCTTCTCCTTTTCCCTTACAGCATGTTTCTGGTAGTCTCATTCTGAAGGTGAAGCTGATTGTTATCCTCTCCTTTTACTGACAATGTCCTGATTTTTACAAAGAATACTGAGCCACATTCAGCCTCTGTGATTCATGTAAATTACTATTACTGTCTACAACAAAAATATAACGCAGTATTAGGTTGTTTCTACTGGTCACTGGAAGGAACAGTCATAAATTGGGTGAAGATTCTGAGATACATAATCTTTCACTGGTTATTAGAGGTACAGGCAGGACAAAGGAGTTACCTGCCAAGCAAACCTTTAACTCCGCTTTTACAGGTGCCTGTTTTGCTTTGTCTCCTCCAAGTGTGTTAGCATCCTCTAGTTTCCAAAAACGGTGATATTAACCAAAAGTTCCTTTGAGAGAATTTAGTGTGAGGTCAGCTTTTAAAATGCAATGCAATAAATGAATATGATAACCAGTTTTGGTAATGTTTCTACATTTTCAGGGTCAGGTTGTGGCCTGCCCAACCTCAAAGGCATTTCGTGAGGTCAGCATGGCACCCTCCACCTTTGTCCTCTTTCTGTAACATGGCCAGATACGGAATCAGCAGAGACCTAGTGTAGCTTATGGGCCAAATGACCTTAACATTTCCTTGGGTGGCTGAGTTGCTATAGTTTCTATAAATGGGATTTTTCAGCCCTTATTCTTGGAACTCTGGACTGCTTCTAAAGAAAAGTTTATTATTGGCCGTGGGAAGCATCAGAGAGGCTGGATGTTTCACCACTTACCCTGATGGAAAAAGGAGGGAGAAGCAAACGTCTTAAACATAGAAAGCAAACAGGGCCCCCGTATGCTGGGACCAGGCATGCGTAAACAGAAGACACAGCTTCGGGGTGGACCTTTATGTCAGAAAGCAGGTGTGTTTCTCCCTTTGGAACAGGGTCCTGAGCTCTCCCTCTTGACTGTTTACCAGATTACGTCAAATATACTTTTTTTAATGTGGGTGCCAAACGTGATCATGCCAAGAGAAAATCATAACTTCCAAATTAAGTCAATACACAGAAAAATCAATCAATTTGTATGGAGTGGGACAATGCCTGAATAACTAACTCCCTTTTAAGTTTAGAGGCCTTGCTCATTCATTGCATTCATCCTGGACTCCAGTCCCAGTACGTTCTCAGCAACTTTAGATTGTCCGCCTGTTAACAAAATTGTTCTTAAGGAAATCTATTGCAATAGCTGAGAAAATACTACAGTATTTTTTTGCATAATTCCAATATGATCCTTACTTTTTGTATTATTTGTTTAGATGCTGTAACTGTTCACATGGTGGCATCCTATATGTGTGCATGTGTATTTTATCTATTTATATTTTACAGTTTCTTTATCCATTCATTGACTGATGGGCATTTAGGTTGGTTCCACATTTTTGCAATTGTGAATTGTGCTGCTATAAACATGTATGTGCAAGTATCTTTTTTTGTATAATGACTTATTTTCCTATGGGTAGATACCCAGTAGTGGGATTGCTGGATCAAATGGTAGTTCTACTTTTAGTTCTAAGGAATCTCCACACTGTTTTCCATAGCGGTTATACTAGTTTACATTCCCACCAGCAGTGTAGAAGTGTTCCCTTTTTATCACATCCACACCAACATCTATTATTTTTTGATTTTTTGATTATGGGCATTCTTGCGGGAGGAAGATGGTATTGCATTGTGGTTTTGATTTGCCTTTCCCTGATGATTAGTGATGTTGAGCATTTTTTCGTATGTTTGTTGGCCTTTTGTATATATTCTTTTGAGGATTTTCTATTCATATCCTTAGCCCACTTTTTGATGGGATTTTTTTTCTTGTTAATTTGTTTGAGTTCGTTGTAGATTCTGGATATCAGTCCTTTGTCAGATAGATAGATGGCGAAGATTTTCTCCCATTCTGTAGGTTGCCTGTTTGAAATAAATTGACTTTTAAGAGGGTTGTGTGATGTTCAGACTATCAGAGTATCGTCTGGAGAAGTGGGCGTAAGTGTAGCAGTATAATGACTGAACCCAGGTCTGTTTCTAAATATGCCTTTACCTTTTCTTGTAGATGGAAGCCCTTACACTTGGTGGGTTGGCAAAGCCAATGAGAAACACTACTACTGGGGAGGCTCGGGGCCTGGAATCCAGAAATGTGCCTGTGGCATTGAACGTAACTGCACAGATCCCAAGTACTACTGTAACTGCGACGCGGACTACAAGCAATGGTGAGTGCCTGCGGCCAGCACAGCCGGGCTCACCCCCGCAGTGTGCCTTTGTGTCAAACCGATGTGAATAGAAGAAAGTTTGAAAAGTGCTATAATAATACAATCATAGGTTAGAAAGGTTTGGAACTAACCCAGTTGACAAATGTCAGGAACATACTGAAAAATATAAAAGTAGAAAGAGGTCAGTGCGACAGGGGTGTGCAAGACTGACGCATAATTGATGTGTTCATATATTATTCAGAGAGGAAAATAATGAGCCAAGTTGTAGACAGTGATTTGCATTATAAAATATGCTGTGTAACCATAGAAGGATGGCCATGGGTGGGAAGCCAGTGTGGATGCCTGTGAGAGGGCACACAGTGAACAGCCTCCTGCGGGAGGCACAACGAGCTCCCGAAATGTTTGTGTTGGGGATCTGGACCAAAAAAGAAAGAAAGAAACAGAGAGAAGGGGAAAAAAAGAAACAAAACATCATTCTTTCCTCTTGTCTTCAGTAAGTGCTTGCCTGTCTACTTTACTTTCATACCTGGAATTGTTTGTAACTCTGATACTAATCAGTTCAAGAAAGATCCATTTCTAGTTTCTTCCATCCCTCTGCTGGCTTTTGTTCTGCCTTGCAGTAAATGGCTGCATCTGTGTCAGTAACAGATAAAGATAAGATCAGCTGCCGTTCTTTGTGAAGAAGAGAGGCTCCAGAAGTTTAGGTGGAAGATTATAAACCTACATGTGATTCTTGGCAGAAGCACATACCGAGTTGTCGGCTGTCTACATTTTTAGAAGTGTTGAGAGGCTCCATTTCTGCTGCTGGGCAGCTGTGCACATAACCAACCATGGTCATGCATTTCCCCATATGCCCAGCCATGGTTTTCTTCAATCCACCGAGGTATTGTGTTTTTTTCAAGGACAGTTTACAAGACAAATTCATTCCACCAGTTAACCAAAAACTAATTCTGAGAACGTAACATTATATGAATTTCAGGTAGGATGTCTGCTTACTTTCTGAAAATTACATTTCTTCTAGTAAATGAAACAAATTACAAAGGCTATTTCAATGGCTTAGAATGTGTGTGTATATGTGTGTAAAATACCTGTCAATAGCTATCTATTTCATTATGGATTATTGTAAAGAAGAGATCATTACAATTTTTATTTCTTTGAAAGATGTATCTATACACAGACATACACACTGTATACAAAGACTGGAAGTTGGGAATGAAGTTAAAAGGGCATGGGCTTTGAAGTTAACCTTTCATTCATTCAGTCAGTCAGTCATCCAATCAGTCATTCATTCAACAAATATTGATCAAACGCTTGTGAGTCAGGGACTCGTCTAGGCACTAGGGATAAAACAGCAAATGCAAAGAGCAAGAATCCCTGTCCTGAATCAGATTCTTGTTCTTGTTGCCTTTTAGTACTAGTTGTGTGTTCTTAAGCCAGGCAGACCCTCTCCCATCCAACATTAAATTCCTTGCCTCTTCAGGAAGCTGACTTTGGGTGCAGCCTCCCCAGGTAGAAGTGGGAACACACTCCCAAATGGTTCATTGTCCAGGCAGCCCAGAGTGCCCTGCCACCATCACCTTGTCCTACCACAGAGGAGAGCAGAGGGATTCAGGAAGAGGAAGATCTAGTACCTGCACCTAAGTGAACTTCATTTTTGTCAGACATCATGCTAAGTTCTAGGGATGCAATGATGAATAGACATGCTCTTTGTCCTCAGGAGCTCCAAAACTAGTTGAAGGAAACACACACATGCACACACAAATAACAACACAGTCAGTGCTCTGAGGAAGGTGTGTGAAAGATACAACAAAAACTAACGGAAGAAACTTTTAATGTAACTGAAGGAGTGAAGGAAGGAATCCATAACGTCTTGGAGGAAGAGGCATACTTTAGAGACAAGTAAGACCAAGAGCCCTAAGACACTTGCCCTTGCATGGTGGTCTTGGAGAAGAAGCATGACTAAGCTGGACCAGGCTAGAGAACTCTCTGTGCAGTTGACAGTTTTGAAAATATTAAGTTTTCTGTTTTTAAAACATTAAGTTTAAGGCAGCAGCATGGCATCCCTGTCTAAGCCTTGAAGGCTACCAGGAGTAGGAATAGAGGTTGAAAAGATAGATTTTTTTTTTTTCTGAGATGAAGTCTCATTCTGTCACCCAGGCTAGAGTGCAATGGCACAATCTCGGCTTACTGCAACCTCCACCTCCTGGGTTCAAGCAATTCTCCTGCCTCTACTGCCACCTGACACCATGCCCAGCTAATTTTTGTATTTTTAGTAGAGATGAGATTTCACTATGTTGACTAGGCTGGTCTCCAACTCCTGACCTCAAATGATCCACCCTCAGCCTCCCAAAGTGCTAAGATTACAGTCATGAGCCACCATGCCTGGCCAAGATTTTTTTTTTTAAAGATGGGGTTTCACCCATGTTGGTCAGGCTGGTCTTGTACTCCTGACCTCAGATGATCCGCCTGCCTCAGCCCCCCCAAAGTGCTGGGATTACAGATGTAAGCCACCACACCTGACTGATAGATTTTTTTTTTTTTTTTTTTTTTGAGACAAAGTCTTACTCTGTTGCCTAGGCTGGAGTGCAGTGGCATGATCTCAGCGATTCTCCTGCCTCAGCCTCACAAGTAGCTGAGACTACAGGTGCCCACCACCAAGCCCAGCTAATTTTTGTATTTTTAGTAGAGTTGGGGTTGCACCATGTTGGCCAGGCTGGTCTTGAACTCCTAACCTCAAGTGATCCACCTGCCTCAGACTCCCAATGTGTTGAAATTGTAGGCATGAGTCACCGCACTTGGCCCCAAGATAGATTTTTAAAGATATATATTAGCCTCTGAAGCCATTTCGAAGAAAATGTCTGAATTCAGATCACAGATTAGAAGACATTCCATTTCACCCTCACTCACAGACCTCCTCCTCTGGCAAGCTTTGATTGAGTTCTAACATTTCAGAGTTACTCAGGGACTTTGATACTGCTGACATTTTGCTCTCTTCTGGCTTAGCAGCAGCTAAGATATTCCACTCCTTTGTTTCTATAGTTTGTCTAATATTTCATAAGAAAGGCACTATAGCTTGAACAAACTGAAAAATATAATGAATATTTTTTATAATAAATGGCTCTTAAAATGATCTTCCCTTTTTTAGTACAAGAAAGAATGCTTTTGGGGGAGTCTTCTTGATCTTTGAATTCACCAGCACCTGGCAAGGCCTTCCCTCATATGTGGATGCTTTAGTTATTTGGGAATGTATGGGGCTGCTTCTAGAAACATTTTCTAAAGCTCTCAGGAGCAGTGAAGAAAGTTGAGTCTGAAGTGGGAAGATTTTACAGCCAGGCCCAGATTTGCCACTTTTAGGGGAGGCTTTTAACCTCTCTGAAATTGATTTAGTATCTGTGTAATAAAAATAAATCTTGTCAAATTTTTGTGATCATTGAGTAGAATATAGAATATAAAAACATTCTATAAAATATACTATACAGGATAGTTCTTTGCAATTTTATTGCAATTCTTTTATTTATTTATTTATACACAGAGTCACTCTGTCAACCAGGCTGGGGTAGTGTGATCTGGGCTTACTGCAACCTCTGCTTCCTGAGTTCAAACTAGTCTCATGCCTCAGCCTCTTGAGTAGCTGGGATTATAGGCACACATCACCATGCCAAGTGTTTTTTTTTTTGTTTGTTTGTTTTTTGTTTTTTTTTGTATTTTTAGTAGAAATGAAGTTTCACCATGTTGGCCAGGCTGGTCTTGAACTCCTGGCCTCACGTGATCCACCCACCTCAGCCTCCCTCAAAGTGCTGGGATTACAGGCATACGCCACCACAACTGACCCTCATCACAATTCTTAAAGGTTCCGATTGACTCTTAAATGAAAATAATACATGAAAGCAAACTGTGGAAAGTAGGCCCCTTCACGCTCTTGACCTGCTATGAAGCTGGCCTCATGTCTAATTCCACAATGCCATATGCAGATGTTATGAAATAGGCTTTACTGGAGAAAGTTATAAATCAAGGATCATCAAAAGAAGAGCAGGTCCAGGTCTCCAATCCCCTCATCCCTCCAATGAGACGACTTAGAGCCAGGCTATTCTGCTGAATGCACCAAGGGTGTCCATCCCCAGGAAGTCCCTGCCTCTCTCCTCACAAAGCAAAACTGATAGCAACTTTGTCATTGGGGGAAAATCAGATGCATGAGGCTCCAGGCAGTCTGGGTATAGGTGCCTGCTGTTTACAAGTGTGGTCTGGGAGCCATAACCTCTCCAGGAACAGGGAGGAAGCCAGAACCCCTTTTTGAAGCTGACTCTGGCTGTAGCCTCTCTAACTAGGAGAAGTGAGGAGCACTGGCCAGGCAACCTGGAGTGCACTGCCACAATCATTGCTGTTCAGTGTTTTTGTTTATCCAAACACAGAGGCGAGCTGGGAGATTAAGGGAAATAAAAATTTAGTGCATACATCCAAATGAAACTCACATATGGTAAACCACATTTGTTGTTACATAATAAAGGTTGTATTAGATTTCATGCTTTTAGATGCTGTGTCCAGTTAAGAAAACTATTTTCAGTAATCTTAATCACAAAGCATCATTGGATTAAGATGAACTGAGACCAAAATGAGTACAAAGTACCTTTGCCATTTCCTCTCTGTGTGAGCTAAGTCAGGACATTTGACATCTTTGTCTTCTTATCAGTGAGATAGAAATAGATAGTATAGTACTTCCCAAGTCATGTAAGGATCTTGGTAAATTGCTGTCATAAATGGATGTTTAAAATTACAGTAATATATATTGTTTTTATTATTATTTGAATGTTGAATGGAACCTTAGCTAAAAATCATTTAAAATGTCTTAAATTACAGAAGCATAAATCGGGGCCCAGAAAAAATTAAATTACTTTCTAAAAATTACATTAGAAAGGATGAGTAGAGAGAAAAGAAGGATAAACATCTCCAAACACCTAGGCCAGTGTTCTTCCACAATATCATGATCAAGAAAGATCTTTTAT